TATAAGCTTTTATCCAATTTTTGAATGAATGAATGAATGAATGGTGTGTGTGTGTGTGTGTGTGTGTGTGTGTAAGGAAATGGGAGCTGCTATTCATATGGATCTTGATCAATGACAGCTTAGTACTAAGGTACCCAGTACAAAGCAGATTCTACATACAGATAGGGATGGGTGGATGGGGTGGAACAGAAGTGTAAAGGGCCATTCATTAATTTACAGGGAGAGACAAGCTTTCTTCAAGCTTGGGTATGAAACCTACTTTTTCTAAACATTCTTGAATGAGGTCTTATTGTTTTATATAGCTGGTTGTTGCTGTTTTAAGCAACAAGATTCTTTCATTGTGTTTTTAATTATTGTTGGGAGCTGCCTTGATAAGGGGGGGAAGTTAAAACAAGAACTGTGTGGGAAGATGCTTGCAGCACTCAACCAGGTCGCCATATGGAGCCTGCACCTATATGGCTACATTTAAAGCAGCCACCTATGAAGCTGGCTTAATAATAATAATAATAATAATAATTTATACCCCGCCCATCTGGCTGGGTTTCTCCAGCCACTCTGGGCGGCTCCCAACAAAATATTAAAATACAATAACCTATTAAACATTAAAAGCTTCCCTAAACAGGGCTGCCTTCAGATGTCTTCTAAAAATCTGGTAGTTGTTTTTCTCTTTGACATCTGGTGGGAGGGCGTTCCACAGGGCAGGTGCCACTACCAAGAAGGCCCTCTGCCTGGTTCCCTGTAACTTGGCTTCTCGTAGTGAGGGAACCACCAGAAGGCCCTCGAGACTGGAACTCAGTGTCCGGGCAGAACAATGGGGGTGGAGATGCTCCTTCAGGTATAGTGGACCGAGGCTGTTTAGGGCTTTAAAGGTCAGCACCAATACTTTGAATTGTGCTCGGAAACGTACTGGGAGCCAGTGTAGGTCTTTCAAGACCAGTGTTATATGGTCTTGGCGGCCACTCCCAGTCACCAGTCTAGCTGCCGCATTCTGGATTAGTTGTAGTTTCCAGGTCACCTTCAAAGGTAGCCCCACATAGAGCGCATTGCAGTAGTCCAAGCGAGAGATAACTAGAGCATGCACCACTCTGGCGAGACAGTCTGCAGGCAGATAGGGTCTCAGCCTACGTACCAGATGGAGCTGGTAAACAGCTGCCCTGGACACAGAATTGACCTGCGCCTCCATGGACAGCTGTGAGTCCAAAATGACTCCCAGGCTGCGCACCTGGTCCTTCAGGGGCACAGTTACCCTATTCAGGACCAGGGAGTCCTCCACACCTGCCCGCCTCCTGTCCCCGCAAAACAGTACTTCTGTCTTGTCAGGATTCAACCTCAAACTGTTAGACGCCATCCATCCAATAATAATAATAATAATAATAATAATAATACGCAAATCAAATCTTAATTCGGGCTAGTAAAAATAAAAATAAATGCAAAGATTTATCTGCAAAAGGAAGCGTAAGGCTCAAGTTTAGCATCACAGACTTAGGTGTTCTTTTCTGAATTATAGCACATAATAGAAAGATGAAATGTAACAAACAATAAAGAAGCAAACCAGCTTCTAGCTTAATCACCAATTTACAATGAAGGGATTTAGCTCAAATAAAATATATTGTGTGCAAAAACGGTTTGCAAATGCTACCACTGTAAAACATGTCCTTGATTCAAGGGCTACATTTAAAAATAATTTCCCTAACAATGGTTTGTTTTGTGTGTTCTTGCTTTGGGAAGCAATTTATTTTCATTGAATGTCCCCAAAATATCCCTAATGACCCCTGCAGAACGCTGGACAAATGCCCAGATGGCATAGTTGAAAGAGTTTACCTTTAGCTAATTAAGTCACATTAAAGGTAACTGGAATGCATCAACTTACAAGGTAGCATAAAATAACTGAGAACAAGGTGGAAGGCTTAACATTTACATGCCAGTTTCCCCATTAAATTTTCTATTTCCTAGTCAATTGAGGGGGAAAAACACATTTACATGGAGGAAATTCTTCATAGAAACTGCTTGGGGCAAGTGTTATTCTGCATTCATTAATGGAGTATATATTCTTTAATATCTATAAGAGCTTGTGGCTATCCTTGCCAGCATACTGTACTTATCAGTGCAAACATTATTGAAAATTTCAAAGACGTTTATAAGGAATGTGTAGTTTCATGCTGAAAGACATCAATATTATTATCAATATACAGGCATACACAGAACAGCACATAACCACATAAAAATATAATCTTAAATACACATTAAAATCTAATGGCGGAGGAAGGTGATGGTGGGGTAGATGCCAAACTGATTCTGCAGGATTGAAGCCACTCCTATTGATAATAGTGCATGGTTGAGTCGCACTGAAGATCAGTGTTGCAATAATTTTAAAAGCTGCCATAAAATGAGTCTGAAATACCCAGAACAAAGGGGCAGAAGAAGCAGAATAACTGCAGTCTGGCAAATGTGTTGTGACTTGCAAGCAAGCTCAGTTGGTTAGAGTATGGTGCTGATAGTGCCAAGGTAGCAGTTTGATCCCCATATAGGACAGCTGCATATTTCTGAATTGAGGGGACAGGACTAAATGATCCACAGGGTCTGTTTCAACTCTACAGTTCTATGATTCTAAGCAAGCAACAGAATCAAGCGCGTGCACACATAAAGTCTAATGTATACTGGACTAAAGATAACCCAAAGCCAACACCAATTTTGGATACGCACAACTCTTTCAACTCAATTTCAGCCTTGGTGAGGCAATTAAGGACAAATGGGTGACTGTCAAATTCTGTTTCTCTCACTTCCTCATTTTTTAAATTCTGCACATTTTCACATCAGTTTGCAATTTTTTAAAAAGCTGAAAATGTGTTGCCATTTTTGTGTGAATTTTTCCTACCATTCAGATTTCTGTATGCAATTTCTCCTAACAGACACAGTTTCGCAAAGCAATTTTAACTAACAGAATGCATCTTTATGTTATTTTTGTACACATAACTTGGATGGAGAACCACACTGCAAAATTTGGAGAAGTGTGAATTTTGAAGTGTGGCTGTGTTTCGGTTCATATATTGTTCTGCGCAGTGCAAGTTAGATAATTTCACCTTTAAATGTGTTCTGAACTAAATTTCTTCCCAATCCCCAGGAGAAACCCAGTTATTCCCCAAGGCTCAAAATGATGTGCAAGCACGAGAGGGTTTTTCCCACTCTTAAACTTGCCTCTCATTCTATGGACTAGACAACTTACCATCTCATGTGTCCTGTGAATGATAGTGGAAGAATGTGCAACCTTGTACCCAAACACTGTCCCTTACATTTACTTACACACACACACACACACACACACAACCTAGAGTCTGGGCTTTTGTTTGATGATCCTACTTAAATTAAAATTTCCTGTGCACCATAATTGCTTTTGTAAATGCTGCAAGGTTGTTTCAAAAATCAATAATGTCAGCAGTCATGTTTATACGCAGTGTCATAATATGAAATGCTTTTAGTGGATTCTTGGGACTGTCTGTCTGGCTAACCACTTGATACTTCAAGCCAGCTTTTACCTGCTGATGTGTTTCAACTGTACTCTATTGCTACCCATAAAGGTGACCTTGACCAGTATATGAATGGATACTTATTTATTTTGGGAGCACAGAGAGAGCGCCAAATGAGACTCTGCATTAAACGGCATCCTAAACTTCCTTTGAAGTATTAAATGCTCCTTGAGTAAAAGCAGCAATCTTTACAAAACTGTACAACTCATGGGTCTCTGAGCAACTTCTAGGACAAAGCAACAAAACAGACATGAAATCTGTCATTAACATAAAAGCTGCTTTGAGAAACAGTAAATGTGTTAACAAAAGTGACATAAAACCACTGCTAGCTTTTTCCAGAGCTAATGCCAAACATCTAAGAAAACCCCTTTAGCTGTTCTAAGGGTGGACTCAGGCAATCCTCCTCTTTAGACCACACAGTGATACTTTCCATAGCTTGGAATTCACATAAAACTGAAAAGGACTGGCATACATTTGATTTCTATAGCCTTCCTGTATTTAGCAATGGGCTCCTCTGGAGCTGGGTGAGAGGAGGCCTTGTCCAGTTGATTATAGAGAATGGAGCCCATCTCATCTAACACCCTGTTTCCAGCATCAACTTACCAGATATCTCCAAAATATTAACAAGCTGAGCCTAAAGGCAACACCAGTGTTACATCTGGCAGTGCCCTTGACACCATCCCAAGTCTCCCCTCGTTTCTCTCTGTGGCAGCAGCTGGGATGTGACAGTTTGGGTCTTTTTACTATCAGCACCTCAGCAGCAGCAATGGCAGCAGAAAGGTGTAGCAGCAGCAAACGCAGCAATCTAGACAGCCAGTGCTTCTGTTGGCACCTACAACTGAAAAGAATTCCTCCCACAATCTCTGAGGAGCTGATGTAGACTTGCTCTGGGTGGATGCCAGCCAGGCCAAAAGCCAGCAAGTGTCTGGCACTGAGAGAAGCCTCAGGCCCAGGAAGCTTTAGGTAGCAGTCTGTTTGTTGACAGGCCCTCCTGAGGGCTCAGGCCATTGGCAACTGCCCACTAGTGCCAACTTCTGGTGCCAGATCTACATGAAGACACCAGTCCTCTCCCACTTGTTTTAACTGTTTGGCAGAGGAACGGACTACCTCAGAAGACGGCGGACTCTCCTTCACTGGAGGTTTTTAAACAGAGGTTGGGTGGCCATCTGCCTGGGGTTCTTTAGCTGTGATTCCTGCATTGGACTAGATAACTCTTTGAAGTCCCTTCCAACTCTACAATATTTTCAGTATGATTTGCTTCCCAGGATCTAGTGTCTAAGAGGCCAGAACCTGGAAGCTTCATTTGGCTCGTAAGGAGAGGAAGAACCATATGTGCGCTGCCTTGAGCTCCTTGGGAGAGAGGTAGGATATAAAAGTAATTTCAAAAAATTAATAAATCGCGTGCTCACCTAATCTCTCAAGAAGGCACACACAGTACAGACATAATGAAAAATGGAGGGATAGTCTCCTGCTTACCTGACCAGGCTGCTCACATGCTGTTTGGTATCTTGCTTGCTGACACAGCTCCTTTACTCTCTCATATTTGGGCAAGTGATTCGATTGCTGGGCATTTTTGCTCGCTTCTTCCTTCTTGCGCAGAAATTTACTTTTTTATAAAAAGAAAAGAAAAGAAGCAGCAGCACTCTAAGGCATTTATAAGTAGCACACATGAATAAATTGCTTACAGGTATCCTGACAATCAAGCAATATAGAAAATGTCATGAAATAAATAAGGCAAGCTTTCCCTGTAGCAGTAGCAAATAACAAAAAGACAAGAGAAAGCCAATGTGGTCCCTTCCCAGATATTGTTGTACTGCAACTCCCACCAGCCCCACCCAGCATGGGAAATGTTCAGGGATGATGAGAATGGTAGTCTGATAACCTTTGAGAACTATGTGAGCTATGTGCCTTGAGATGAACGCTGTTCATCAGGCCCAGGGTAAAAACCTGGAAATGGCTTTCATCTGTATCTTTGGGGATTTCTCTGTTTCAGCCAAAGTTATCGCCTTTCATGAGACCTTCTACTGTTAAGAAGATGTGTGGAAGCCCCGGGCAAGCCCTTTCCAGATATAACACCCCCCCAAAAGAATATAAGTAGGGAGGGCAGCACTGAAGATGTCACCCCTGAAATGATGCATGCACATTAGAACACCTGCGCAGAGTCCCTACACAGACTGCCATGCACACAAGCCCTTTTCCTGTGAAAGATTCTGCATCACAGGAGATGGGAGATACAGCCATACCTCGGGTTAAAGAACGGGTTACTTCCAGGTTTCGCTGCTCACGCATGTGCGGACGTTCAAAATGACATCATGCGCATGCGCAGAAGCAGCGAGTTGCGACCCGTGCACATGCGCAGACGCAGGTTGCGTTCTGCACAGGTTGCAAACGGGGCTCTGGAACGGATCCTGTTCGCAACCAGAGGTACCACTGTACTTGCACAGTTGAAACTCCCTTCTTCAGACTCCTCCCCAACCCCACACTCACTGTGGGAATGGGAGAGTGAAGGGGATACAAAGAGTCCAGGAAGCAGAACCACACTCTGGCTATGACACAACTAAGGGGCGGATGCCTGACCAGAGTTATGAAGGCTCCTTCATGCATTCTAATAAACGTGCATAGGTCAAGGGCAGCAGCTTATTGCTCCCATGTACATATTAATGTCCAAAAAGGAACAATGCACGCGCGCGCACACACTGCAGATGCTCCTCTCCCTATTCCCAAGAACAGCAGGCTGCTTAAGGCAACTCATCAGTGAGAGGGAGGTTCTCTGGATGTGCTCACACACACAACTGTCTTTATTACTGTTTCATATTATTTCGAGGTTGACCTCAGGCATCAAAAATGCCAAGTCTCAACGTCCGACCCATGAACCATGAGTCAGAGGCTGTTGCTGCAGGACTATGGATCTTGCAAAGACCTCTTGGCATTGGACAAACAGCTAAGAGCAGCAATTAACAGACAAGCTGAAGGAAAGAAAAACAATGGGATCTGGAAAATTGCTGGATGAAGCTGCTTTGAGGTAAGGAATGAGCTTCACAGACTGCAGTGTCAATGGCAGCAAACAAATGGGCCAAGCTACCAGAAAGAAGGAAGCCAGATCTGTGCATTTACAGGCAACATTTATTGCTTCTCTGCCCATTAAAAAAAAGTGCAGTTGCCCACCAGGAAGATTTTCCCAGAACTCTCTCAGCCCCAATAATTACCCTCTTTCCACTAGGAATGTATCACGCCAAACTTTGGTTTTCTTGTTTGTTCGAAACCTGAAATCAAAATAATAATATTTACTGTTGGCCTCTATGACTATGTTTGTCTAGGCAATTAAAGGTGAACTATTTATTTTCCCTCCAAACCAACTAGCTGCCCACATGTTCCCACAGTTTTAGAAATGTGTTCTTTAAAATAGGTTTAAGCTGGGAAAGCAGGGACCGACTCCACTAGTTTTACCACAGTTTGTTTTCTATCTGCTTATTGATTTACTCAGGCATTTGCTACCAGACAGGCTTCAAGAAGGAGCTTTAACTCACCTGTTTCCTGCTTTTTCAAGGTCCAGCAGTTTTAGAATAGATTTGCCATCCATATCGGGAGGCGTGTCAAGTCCTGCAATATCCAAAACTGTTGGAGCAAGGTCAATATTCAGTACTAACTGAGATATTCTGCAAAATTACAAGAAAAGGTCAGAGTTATATTAGGCATGTTGGAAGCAACCTTTCACATCCTTGTAGAATTTGAACGGCAATTACTTCCAGTGTAGTACTTTGATGTCAAACTGTATATAATAGGAGTGAAATCTAAAAGTTCCCCTTCCAGAACTGTGCAATTAGCAGGAACATGCTAATACTGTATCAAGACATTTTTAAAATATGAGTCTAGGTTAAGCAGTGATATGAAGCAGACATTCTTCTCTTGCCAGTAGACTCATCACAAAATCTATATTTATGTAGCCTGCTACGCCACCATGAGTACAATATATCTTCACATGACCCTAATAACTCTTTAGGAGCAAGTCACAAAAGAAGAACTGCACAGGGCTACAGTAAAACAATGAAGGAGCTTCATTATACCTTTAGCAAGTGCTTTCTTTCTTTCTCTCTCTCTCTATATATATGTAAAGGGGAGGGGGTAGGTTTGATCTTCATAGCCAATGCTTTGCAATAATCTTGTTGAAATAAAAACTAGCCACTTAAGAAGGACAATCAAATGTGCTTACAAATATTTTACATTAGGTACAACAGCTGTGCTGCAGACATAGGAGAACGTACACTGATCCCGGCTCTACACTTGGACCACGAATAAAGAAAGGGACGCGGATGTCAAAGTCATATGGCATTGACTTCCCTTTGACCAGTCCAAACTGCCCAATATGGTAACCATGGTCAGCAGTGTAAATAATGTAGGTATTCTCCAGTTCTCCAGTCTCCACTAGCATGTGATATAACTGAAACAGAATAAATAGAAAAGTAAATATGGAAAAAATGCTAAGTCAAATCTATCACACACACAGCAGGCATATACAAGCAAATATATATAAACGATCTTATACGGTTGCATTTCAGTGTTGAACCAAAAACACCAAGTCAGCAACTTTTCATATTGTAGTTTATGAGGGTTTTTGAGAGAGCTTGTGGGTTTCACACAATAAATGTCCACTGCAAATATCCTGTACAGTGGGTGACCACAGTTGGTTGTAACTGTATCTGTCTCAATAGCAGAGGATGGACAAAGGCAGTTGTAAATCATTTGCTACTGAAAAGTCTTCCTCTTGTGTGGTTATGGAGCCACATGGATATGTCTTAGACCATTATTCCTTCTAAGAACACCCAGTATCCTCTACTCTAGATGAGAGGTAGCTCATCAAGGCCTCAAGTGAAGATCTTTCCCAGACCTTCCATTAGAGAATTCCTATCCACGAAGATGCCAGGGAACCTTCTACCTGCCTACCATGTGCTGTATCAAAAAGAGAGAACAACATTATAGTGAGCGTTTCACAGAAATGGTGCCTGCAGAATGAATTGCTCCAGAAGATTCAAGCCAGTGGGTTGGATTTGTGGACGCTTCTGCCAATAGATATAGCTCCTCTGGATCCAAACGAATGAGCTCAACCACATGGTATATATCTATATATTCTCTCCATTTGCTAAATCCAATTCAGTCTTTTCCTATCAGAAATGGAATTACTTTTTGCCACATTTAACAATAGAAAAGGACTTCTTATGGCAGTCGTGCATGGTTATAGATATGCAATTCAGATATTTGTCCAAGGAACTCTAAGGCAAGTAATATCTGTATCCAAAGCCGCCTTCTCACCATTCCAGAGGAGTAAATCTCCTTTTGAGAAAAGGTCATAGTCAAGTTAAGAAAATAACCTACAGAACACAAATTAAAACGCAGTCTAACTCTGCCAAACTGCTGAAAGATTTCCTGGATACGGTTGCTTCTTCAGAATTGCTTGTTAGTGTTATAAATAATACCACATCATTCTATGCCATTTCCCCTCGTACAAAGAGCTGCAGAATTCTGGGCAGACATCTCCTTTATGATAGGAAAGACCTATCTCTCCCTCACCCCCTTTGTTCCTCCCCCTTTCAACAGAGAAGTATGAACCAGGGAAAGAAAGAGGGGGGGGGTGCCTCTTTGGGGTTAACACCAATGTGGGAAATACTGTATTCTGGGACAGGGATTCATTATCCTGCTAACTTCTTCTTCTTCTTCTTTCTCCTTTGGTGATCACTCATAGCCAAGTAAGATTGCCTTCCATGAACACAATATTACTAAGGGGCTCATGACAGCAGCAGGATTAAAGAGAGTGGAAGGCTAAAAAATTGTTTTCAGGATTTTCATTTTGCTCACCCTTTCCATGGAGTCATCAACTGACAGCAAAGTTTGAAGTCGTTTGCGCTGCAAGGTATTTGTGAATTCCATGTGGATAGGAAGCATGGGACCTGTATATTGCATGATCCAGTGCTTATCCATATTTGGTGCATAGTTGTAACTGGGAGTTCTAAAAAAAAAAAAAGAGAGAGAGATGATAGTTTAGAAGCTTCCAAAAGTTCATTTCTCTTGTTAATACCTGCACCCTTTGCCTGTAAGTTGCCTGATTTGATATGATTTGCATGCTTAGCATAACAGGATCTTTGAAAAAAATGTGATAAAAGAAAATACATTTTCATAAATCAAGAGGTAAGATTAAGCAATAGCAACTAAGCAAATCCAGCTGTATACACTGCAGATCTGGGATCTGACCCAGTTACAACTCCAGTATTCTATGCATTAACTCTGAGGTGTTTTCTGAAGCCCTTCATCACAATAAGCAGGTGTCTGGGAAAGAATACCCAGATCGCACAAATTTTCATTTTCTTTTAACATGATTAGAAGACGGTGTCATATCCTATAACATACGTAATTGTGCTCCTCACATCTATGCGACTATTGTTCCTGGATTTTTCCTTCTGCAGAGAAAAAATGTAGTCCAATGCTGAATAGCACTGAATGAGTTTACATTCCAATATGACACAGTCTTTTTGAACAGAAAGGTTTTGCTTGTACACCACCACCATTTCCTTTACATAGACAGATTTCGTCAATTCTCTGTAGCATCTTTACCTGCTTTGCTCCTACAACATATTTATTTATTCATTTCTACATTGAATCTGAGGCAGGAGAGGCCCTAGATCGAAATGATCTTGAATCTTAGAAAGACAGAGGCCTTAGGGGTGGGTGGTTCTTGCGGTGGGAGATAGATCAACTGCCCAGTGGCAGAGCTTCATTCTCCAGAACCAGGGGCGGAGAGCAGGTGGGAGCGGGGCTGGTGTGCACCGTGGGAGCGGGGCGCACCGCCCACAGGGGCGGGGCACGCATCCTGGGGGTGGAGCATGCCACCTGCGGAGGGGGGCGTCCAGCGCAGGTGGGGGGCAGCCGCGATGGCACCCTGCTGGGATCGCATTGCCGGGGGCAGTGCGCTCCTCCCACACTCCTCTTCCTCCACCAGTGCAACTGCCTAAGCTGGATGTGATTGTACTCTCTGTGAAGGAGCTGCTACCCAGGGTCCAGGCTCTATCTGTGATCTAAAAAGAAGTGTTTACATATGCAGAAAGAAAGCCAGATTCTTGACTACGACATTACTCTTATAATTGCTTTCCCAACCTTTAATAAACACATCTGCTCCCTTCATTAAGCCTTCTATGTTTATAATCCAGAGAAATACTTTAGAGACATTGAAAGTTCCGCATAAAAAGAAAAGGAATGGAAGTTCTGCATGAGCTCAGCAGGATGTTGTCCTTGTTTTTTCACCGAAGAGCAAACCCACACAACACTGTTGCATCCCAGATTTCAAAAGCAGTTTGCCATGCGGCATGGGGAGGCTGAGGGAGACACTGTAGTTCAGACACCCACAAAGCTTAATGGGGCATCTGGAGCTAGTAATGGATTTCAACACACCCCTCTAGAGACCAAATTGACCTAATCAGGATTTCATTGACCTGGGACTCATGCATAGGATTTAGCATCAAGCTAAAAATCATTAGCACCACCAGAAAGGTCTGAAGCTGGTTTGTAAGCTATCTGTTCGGTGCAATCCTGTGCATTTCTACTTAGAAGCCAGTTCCACTGAGATCAGTCGGTAGTACGTATAGGATTGAAGTCTAAATGAAGTGATTCTAAACTGGGATGCATTTCCCATAAACAACCTACGAGGGCTAAAATGTACACTTGATTGTCCAAACCTCACATTCCACTTTCTATTAGCAGCTTTGAGAAATGATTCATTCTAGATTAAGAAGCACTCCTAGCCTAGTGTCATGAGTGAAAACACCCTCAGAATAGTCTCTTAGGATCAGAAATACAGCCAATGGTATGATTTCACAGTGTTTCCAGAAACATCAAGGGACCAAAACTGAAAGTGATTAGTCCAAGAGGTTTCCATTACAGCAAGCACACGTTTAAATATTCCATGAGAGGCAAAAGACTCAATAAGTTTCTCTCCGTGATTAAGCCCTGTCAAATAATGTTAAACTAGATGTAAGAATCTGCTTCAGACCAAATAGCTTAACCAATACAGCACACCGGAATCGGCAGTGATTCTCCAGAGACACTTATGCAGAGGCCTCTCTCAACACAAATACATGTTCCGTTTAAGAGGGAAACAGAATAATTAGCAAGTACCTGCTGTATCGTGGATCTAAGGGTGATCCCCAAGGGAAGAAAGAGCAATAACAGTCACATTCCTTATTAGACTCACTCACTTGATTTAGGCACTTATGACACCATTACACACCCACACCCACACATCCCTTTTCAAACAATTTCAGGGTATATTTCCCTAGCCAATGGCAATTCTCAAAATAGACTGTAGGCCTTGATCTTGCCTTCTGCAGACAATTTAAGAATGGGATTCTATGCTGAAATCCACTTGTTCTGGCAGAGCCCCACTGACTTAATCAGAGCTGTGCCAACAAAAACTTCACTTAGGATTGCAGCCAGAACATACATTACACTGAATAACAATTCTTTGGTGGTTTTTCCTATTGCTTTGCCTTGTTCTTACAGTTTAATGTATGTTGCATGTTTTCACTTGGTTGCCTTTGAAAAATCACCTGCACCTCACATAACTAGATGTATTTGCACGTTATACACACTGATAAAATCTTTGTGAAGCTTTTTTTTTTTTTAGTCTAAATACACATAAAACTAAATATTTCTCATACATAACATTCCTAACGCGGCAACTTCCTAACATGGAGAATGCACACAATTTTTTTGAATCCCCCTACCCACCCTCAAAAAAGGAGACCAGTGTCACTTGAGGAGCTAAATTTTACATTCAATCCGCACACCTAGATATGAGAAAGAGCGAATCAAGCACCTTCAGTGAGATCTTTAAAGGAGAAAATGACAGTCACTTCTTGAAGAAGAGACACAAAAAGTGTTGTTGTTGTTTACACTGCTATGTTGATACCTGGTAGGTATGTATTGTTTCCAAGAGAAATAATTTATGTTTGCTATGACTTGCAATACTGGCATGCCCTCAGGCAGCACCATGGCCCTGCTCTGTGGTGGGAGCCTCCTAATCCCGCACCGTTTTGACATTCCCATAATGTCCCATGATCACAGAATTTAAGCACAAGTTGCTTTGCTTGAAAAAAACAAAGTCCAATTTGTCTCAACATTCAGGACAAAACAAGTTTCCAGAGCTGCCAGACACAAACCTCCTTAAAACACGAGGCTCAGTGGAGACCAAGTATTTGTAACTCTCCTAAGCCTATGATCAGAAGTGTCCCTCTGTGTTATCCTGCTTTCTCCCGCTCAAATTCCTCTCTCTTTCCTTTTGCAGCACTCAAGGTGGCTACAGTGTCTTGCTCACAGTGTCTTGCTTCAGGTCACTGTAGGAAACTTGTTTCTAACCACAGGTTAAACTCTGGTTTGCATTCACCTCCAGGATAAACCTACACATTCAGTAAGATGAGGGCGCAGAATTCTGAAGCAATAAAGTGAACTGTACCACTTCAAACTATATGAGTGTGCAATTCTGAAATCTTTTTTTTTTTTTTTTAAAAAGGAGCTTCCTACAAAGTGGAAAAACCCCTATAACATCAAAGAGAAATTATCAACCCGCTCTCTTGTTGTGCCAGTTTCCACGGGCAGGGAGATTTCAAAACGTAATTAGCATTTTAAAAAGTGATTCACAGCTACAACCTAAAACTACAATCCATTCTTCCACCTCAGGTGGTACCACTATTGAATGTTAACGGCAGATCGGATGGTGCCCAGCAGCAAATGCTTGCTCATTCTTGCTAAAATCAGTGTTCACACATTAAAATGTACAGTAGGATTAAATGCCAAAGGGTAGCTTCTGTTGAACATCATACAGGAAGCTTAAAAGCCTCTGATACCACCCCCTTACACACATGCAGAAAGTTCTATGTTCTTCAACCCCTGGCATGTGCAGTTAAAAGGCTCAGGTAGCGGTTGGTGGGAGATGTTTCCCTGAGACCCTGGATAGCAGCTTCTGCTAGTCAGATTAGACAGCCCTGGCCTAGATGGACAAATAAGCAGCCCTGGTATAAAGGCAGCATCCTATGTCCCTAAGAAAGAACATACAATAATAATCAGATGCACAGGGAAGGGGAAGCCTTCCTGCTCTGCACCTGTGACACCAAGGTCACATAAACTTATCAGGCTGGGAAAGGAACCTGGACCTAGTTTCCAGCCAGATGATAACGTATCGGCCACTGTCTTCTGAGCTGTAAAGCAATGCACAAACATGCAGAATCCCAGGAGCTGCAGCATGTGAAATGGCTGTCTGTACAATTGCATGGTGCCTTGGAGGCAGACTCACACTATCCATTTGAAGCATATCCAATGCACGCTGATAAAGCACATGACTTCCTCGACAGAATCCTGGGAACCATAGCCCCAGCACCCTTAACAAACTACAGTTCCCGGGAAACCATGAGTTTTAAGTATGCTTTAAATATATACTGTGGATCTGCATGTGCATTTACCCTAGAGACAAAAGGCACCCACCATTCATTTAAACATCTATAATCCTATACAGCGGTGCCTTGGTTCTTGAACTTAATCCGTTCCTGGAGTTCGTTCAACTCCTGAAACCGTTCGAAAACCAAGGCGCAGCTTCCGATTGACTGCAGGAGCTTCCTGCACTTAATCAGAAGCCGCGGAAGCCATGTCGGATGTTTGGCTTCTGAAAAACGTTCGCAAAGCAGAACACTTATTTCCGAGTTTGTGGCATTCAGGAGCCGGTTTGTTTGACAACTAAGCCATTCGGGAACCGAGGTACTACTGTACTCATATTCTTAGATTATAAATTATAATAGAGTGCAATGGTGCTTACTCCAGAAGAGTACATAAGTTAGCAGCCCATCTATCTGACGGACCAGGGCAGAAAAATAGGAAGAGAACCTGCAAAATAGCGAAACATTTGGTACATATCACCCTACACAGACGCCTCCGAGTTCTCCTATAGTCACCAAAGAGGCAGAAACCTCCAACAGACACAACCTCTGCAAAGAAAATCATGAGCTGTCATCCTGACATCTAGCGGCAAGATACACAATTAAGAAAAAGCCCCCCTCATTCAGTCTAAACAGCAATGTCATGTTTAATGCAGGGGCATTTAAGCAGCAGTCAAATCATCAGCATAGTCATGGCGCAATGTTTAACTTACATGTGCTGGGAAGCATTTGGATAGAGCTCAGAGAACTGTGGCGCAGAGTCTTCAGGGCCATGGGGAGCCGCGTGACTGATCACCATCATTATAGGTCTATGGGGATACATCCTCTTAGACGTTTTGAAATAATTGATGCTGTCATTAGTGATCAAATCTGTGAAATAGTCCTGAAACAAACATTCAACACAAAAACAAGAATTGCCAAGTGCATCGCTTATACCAGTCCATATCACAGTGCTTCATTCTGCTAGGGTGAGCTATGAAACAAACGCGATTTCTCTCAGGCTCCAGTTTCAAAAGCTGGGCTAAAGACGCAGACACAATTCCCAAAGACCAGAGTTACAATTCCGTTCCAAAGTCAAGTCTGTGCCCAGATGAACAGCTGTGTTCTGGGAAGGATTAACAAACAGGATAGCAAGGGAGAACGGAGGCAAAAGGTGTCAAGGCAAAGCAAGAACAGAGGAAAGGGTGGATTAAGACAGTAAATTCAGAGATGAGGAAGGAACTGAACACAGGTCTTTCTGACCCAACCACAATACAATGATTCGGTACTGCAATAATGCACAAACGGAATACACTTTGTCTATTTTATATACATTTTTTTTTTAAGGTTATTACTTGCCCTTTTCAAAATGCCCTAGTTCAGATGTAGCCATAGTTTAGTGTGACAAGAACAAGTCACAGTGACTCATACACTCCCCCTTCCTTTGGTGCAGCTGCAAGGAGTTTCCCATTTACCATAGCTTAGTTTGTCCAAACTGACAGACAGTGATTGTTAGGCACAGCTGTTTAAACAAATGCTAGCCATAGTCAGAGTAGACTCACTGAAGCAAATGAACGTGACTAACTTAAGATTCACTTCATTTCAATGGACTTACTCTGAGTTGGACTAGCATTGGACACAACCCATAGCTAACAGTAAACAAGTCTGCTGATCTGCATAACAAGCTGTGTTTAATGGGAAAGAGAAAATGCCTCTTTCCAGCCAGAAACCCGGTCAGATGGCCGGTGTATTATTATTATTATTATTATTATTATTATTATTATTATTGACAACTGCACCACAGAAAGGAATTGGGGAAGTGCATGAGACCAAGGCTTGCAGAATATTGCTCTCAACACAATAAACAGTGATTTTGTGGAACTGCCCAAATGCAACCACTGGCTGAAAGCTGTCACTGAAAATGGCAAACCACGCTATGGCAACATGATGAGTTTATGAAAGAAGTGAGATCTGAACCAGGAATATCCACCTAGATCAGGCTTCTTCAACCTTGACCCTCCAGATGTTTTGGGACTACAATTCCCATCACCCCTGACCACTAGCTAGCTAGGGATCATGGGAGTTGTAGGCCAAAAACATCTGGAGGGCCGAGTTTGAGGAAACCTGACCTAGATCATAGCTCAAACTCACAAGTCATGCTATCTGTGTTCTTGTTACAATAAGAATCATCCCGCTCATTTCTTAGGAGTTCTCCTCCAATTGAAGTTCTCCTCCAATTGCCTTCTCGGGCAGGAGAGCATTATTTGGCCACAGGAGATGGCTCTTTCAGTATTGACACCTTGACTTTAGAATGCCCTTTTAGAGAGACTCGCCTGGCACCCACACTGCAATCATTTTGGTGCAAGGTTAAAACATTTTAATTCATACTGCCATTTAACATTGTCTAAGCCATCTCATACATAATGGTTTTAATTGCTTATTTGTTTACTCACTTACACACACACACACACACACACACACAGTGTTTGCGTGCTGCCCTAGAATCAGAATCAGATGAAGAGCAACTTATAAAATATTTTAAATAACTTTTAAAATGTGCACGAACACATCTAACCATCAGTGAGTCTTCTTTTTAAATTGCATAGTTTAGAGCAGCAGTGCAGCTGCTATTGTCAAAGTAGCCCCTTGCCAACCCCCAACCAACAACAACACCCCTAGCTTAATGGAGAGCCAAGGTAGTAAAGTGAAAATCTGCAAGAAAGAGGAAGGAACAAAAAATGTAAAGATGAAAACTCAATAATTAAGCCACCTGCCAACTCTAAGCATTCCATTTTTGGCCCAACGAATGGGTGTGAGCTCCAGAGAAGAGTTCCAAGACAATGTGTGCAGCTTCAAACACTTCCAGGCACGACTAATCAATCAAACAATGTGGATACAAATTCCTGAACAGCTGCAAAAGCAAACACTGAAAGGAGGCCGAGTGCATTTTGCACAACACTGTTGGGGCAACCCGAACAGCTGTGATCAGTTTCACCCCATCACAAAGAACCTACAAATTAACTGACCCTACAGAACTCCCCAAATAACTCCTCAAACTCCTTTAAGTTCAAAATATGGTTGAGGAGTGGCTATACAGTATTTAAAGGGGAAATTCACTGAAGGTATTCTACCCCAATTTCCAGCTAACATCTTCTCACACCTGAAGCTCAACCAGCTTTTTGAGTTCAAGGGTGTTTTAAAAATGCAATAATATTCTTAAAGTATTTAATAACGCATGTACTTCTTTTCTATAGAAAAAAACCTCTGAAGAGTATCAGAGAACACAAATCCTAATTAAATCACATTTAAGTTGAGGGGGGTAGGATCCATTACAAATTCACAGCAGCGCTGAATGGGCTTTTCGTTCTGTGAACGCAGTTACATTTCAAAGGAGTTCTAACCCTACAGATCAGAACACAAGATTTAAGGCCATGGGTGGGCAGAAATCGAGAGATCTTGAACATAACATTAATTCTTCTAGCATGATGAAAAAAAGGGGAGTTTTACAGATAACACCTAATACGATGGAAACATGTCTGTGCAATACCTTTGCATAATCAAAGCCGTGCTTCTCTTTGAGGCCATTGCGGCAAATAGTATAGTTATAGAAACGAGAGTTCTTGATTAATCCAACCCACTCTCGCCAGCCAGGAGGGATGTAGCTGCCATTGTATTCATTGAGGTATTTCCCGAAAAAAGCTGTGAAAAGAGAAAGAGGAAATGTAGGTTTGGTCGCACTCCTGGGCATAGATCCTTGGTCTGGGTCACACCCAAAATTCATGGATGAACAGATATATATATATATATATATATATATATATATATATATATAATATCAAAGCAGTTTACAAACAGAAGTACAGTAGAAATACCAGGAAGTGCAGTAGATTGTCAGAATATGTTGATTAATTTACAGAAAACAATTGCTTGTTTTCAAAGCCCACAGTTTAGACACAGCTAGAAACCATATGTTTGAAGTATTATATCTTTAACTACACCTTTGTTAATTTAAGTAAGTGATGGGGAACCTCAGGCCCAGGGACCAAACGGGACCCTTCAGGCCTCTCTATTTATTTTATATTTCTTTATTACATTTTTATACCACCTTTATCTTCCAAGGATCTCAAGGTGGTACACATGGTTCTCATCCTCCCCATTTCATCATCACACACGTTCACTTCATCAAATCTGGCCCTCTTTGAAAAAGGTTTGGGCACCCCAGGGCTAAGGGATGGTGCCTGGCCCATGGTCACCCAGTGAGCTTGATGGTGGAGTGGGGATTTGAACCCACACCTCCCAGGTCCTAGTCCAACACTCTAACCATTACGCCACACTGCATCTCTACCTGGCACCCAAAACAATCCCCTTTCTTTAGGCCTCAATCCTTAGTAGCCCTACTTTGTACCTTCCTTGTGTGCCTGCCTGGAATATATCATTGAATTCTGACAATGCTTCTTGTTTGCCTAGATGGAGGACAGAGATGATTACATGAGTCTACGTAGAAACTAGCCCACTGTACAAAGGTAAAAATAATGTTCATTGCTCTGCCCACTTTTGCCTCTAGCTCCGCCCACCACTGGCATGTGGCCTTCGGTAGATTGCCCTTCCGGATGAAAAAGCTTCTCCACTCCCGATATAATTCCCTATTAACATAATTCATTATCAGACAGGTAGGTGAGCAGGTGGCCTCAAAACTTAATATTTAGGTAACATGGTCCAGACCTATTAAGGGCACTTTTATAGAGCTAACTGGAACTTTCCAAAGTTACTGCTACAGGCAGTGGCGTAGCGTGGGGGGTGCAGGGGGGGCCGGCCGCACCGGGCGCAACATCTGGGGTTAGGGCAAATCCACGGGTTAGGGGGCGCAAATCCACGGGTTAGGGGGCGCAAATCCACGGGTTAGGGGGCGCAAATTACTTGCCTTGCCCCGGGTGCTGACAACCCACGCTACGCCACTGACTACAGGTTTCCCAGCTCAGAAGTGTTTAAGAGCAGAAAGAGAGTTCAGCTACTACCAGAGTATTGAGACAGGAATTCCTCATAGCGCTGCTCTTCTAAATGACTTTCCATGCGCAGACACAGTGATTCTCAGATTTCATCCACTTCCTGATTTGCCTAAGTGGCTCTAGCTTTAATTGCCATATGGAAGGGAAATGAAATAAAACCACCTCGTCTTTTCAAACAGCCATTAATCTGGTGTTAATTCAATGAACCATATTCTTCTAGAGCTAAGCAAACATGGGGACATTTTCCTTCCAAATAGCAGATACCAGATTAGCCGGGGGAAATCCAGGTTCAAAACTGTAAGATCATAAGAACAGCCTGCTAGATCAGGCCAATGGCCCATCTAGTACAGCGTCCTGTTCTCACACTGGCCAACCAGATGTCTGTGGGAAACCAATGGGCCAAACATGAGCACAAGAGCATTCACTCCTCCCATGGTTTCCATCAGAAGCATTGCTGTCTCCAATTGTGGAAATAGTGCATAGCCTTCAAAGCTAGCAGTCATTTATAGTCCTCTCCTCCATCCCTACAAAAATCTACCTTATAGCTGAAGATAAAGGAGTGGACCATGTTCACCGCCCTGATTGGACAAAAATAAGTAATACATGCTCCCTTCAGGAGAGGCTGGATTTGTTGTGGACTGAAATCAGGACTTCCTGTCAAGACAAGTGGAGAAAAACTGACCCTAGCATCAAAACAAAATCGTCATCATGATGTGATGGGGTTACCAATATAAATAATTTTTTGAACTAAAACAAAATGCCAAGTACTTAATTGTAAGGACAAAACACCTCTGTTCTTTAAATTCCTGATTATTTCTCTAGCCCTTTTGTACTGCACTAACCACTTTGATTTCTTTCTTTATTCTCATCATATCCAGTACAATAAGAATCTCTTGTTCCTACTATACTGCAAAAGTGGCCAGCACTGTGGAGGCCATGCAGCTGAGGGGCCAGCACTGTGGAAGCTATGCAGCCACCCTCCCAGCACAGGCATTGGTGCCACATATTGAAACATGGCTGGAGTGGGAGAAAGTGGCAGCCAGGTTGGGGCAGTGTGGAACTGATCCATCCATAAGAGGGTGATCTGTAAATATTTTCACAAATAAATAAATAAATGCTGTACACCAAATCAATGATGATGTAAAGACAGCCATCCTTTTACTTAAATGAAAAAGAAAGTCACTTTCCCACTAGATAGCTTAAAAACAGGTAATAATGCACAGGACAGTGTACGAGTGCCTTGTGAGCAATAGGCCTAAATAGCATCCTGCATTGGACTTTGAAATTTTCCACAATTGTAGTATTCTCTGTTGTTTTTTTCTTCTTTTACACTTGGCTCATTAAAACAAACAAAACCCTATCTACATGCTCCAACCAGTTGCAACTGTGAAGCTTTTTTCCTTGCTCATGTCTGAAATCTATTCATTGATAGCCACAGGCAACATACATATTTAGAAACAGAAGCAATGAGAATTAGGAAGCCATTTCTGTTTGTATAATTAATAAAATACGAAGTACAGCTGAGTGAATAAAATGTCTCATTAAAAAGTAATACCATTTCAGGGAACATCTTTTCATTATTGTATCTAATGGTGCCCACAGGGATAATAGCAAAGATAAATGTAGATTTTTGCATTTTAATGAGACGGATTTTATCTGCAATACTGGCAGTTTTGCTAACTGTTCCCAGGACACAGTGCCATTGTTTAAGCACATGTAACATACTTTGCCAGCTCAGAATAATGGCAGTCTCTTTGACTATGCCTAATTGAGCTTGTGTAAACAGCAAGCCTTCTCAAGGTGAACAATTATTATACTTGATACCCAGACAACTAAGAAGCATTTGGTGACAAATGAGGAATTGGTCAAGGAAGAATTACACTGCGCTTCCTTAAACTTGTTTGCTTACGTTTTCCTAAGCAGCTGATTGAGGAGTCTCAAAGGAAAGCATAAAATAAAATGGCATAGCTCAGTAATATCCTACGTTTAGCAGGGCTGTCCCTATCATTAGGAAGGCACATCAGGTGACAGGGGCCGAGTGGTGATAACTGGTGGTGAGGTGTTTGAGGATAGAGCAGTGTGCCTTGAGGCTGCACTGTGTTCCCTAAGCTAGCCTGACGTCATGATATGTGGTGGATGACGCTGTCCCGGCACCAATGCTGAAAGACTGAACTGCAAGTTTGGGCAATGCCTGTATCTGGAACTAGGTGGAGGCAGGGTCTACTCTGAGTGGAACTTAGTTGGCTACAATCCTAGAGTTTTTAGACCTTTTTTTTTAACCGCTAATGGGTCATGGTTGCTTTTCCATGTAGTATGTTTCAAACGAAAGCTGACTTTCCAATGTCATTCCAGTATCTGCACACACAAGCCGTCTGTGATAATGTGTCTGATTCCCCAGGAGACCCTTTAATTGCAACACTCCTAAACACCGGCCTGCAGTTCTCATAATTGCTTCAATCGCAGGCATGCTCCTTTGAAACAAGTGCTTGTGTGTTTCTTTTTTAAAGTGACTTGTAGAAGCCACACTATGCCCCCCAAACTCCCCAAGTTTGGCTTGCTCCAGCTATTTGCAGTGGCGTGACACAGGGGGATTCCTCTCCCCAGGAATTGCCCGACTAATTTCAATGGAGTTCTTGACGTAAAACCAGAGAACACAATGGGCTCTGGATCAAAACATGTCCATGGGGTCCTGTTGTGGGTTTCCCACAGGATCCGGTTGGCCACCGGGAGAACAGGAGGCTGGACTAGGTGAGCCGTTAGCCTGATCCAGCACAGTTCTTCTTACGTTCCTATGTTCACAGCAGTGCTCTCCCCTCTTGTGATTCCCAGCAACCAGGTAACGGAGAAAACAGAGCATACCAACAGAACAGAACAAACGCCAACGTCCTTCAAGGAAGAGGCATTCAGTACTTGAGAGACTATTTATGCCAAGTGGAGTTTATATAGCATAGAAACTGAATGCAGCTGTTGAGTGTATGTTAAGTTGAATAACGTAAGTTGGGAGGGAAAGAGTATAATAGAGAAAGAGATGCAGGAGGACTGGGCAGTGCAGAGGAGTTGGTGCTTGTAGTATATCGGCTAAGAGACTGAGCTACAAGTCTCTGGTTTGACTCTCTCTTCTGCCATGAATTCAGTAGCTGGCCTTAGGCAAGTCACTCTATCTCAGTTGCCCACCTGCAACCCTTCCATGGTTGGGTTTGCTAAGCATTTTGAACTCTTTTAAGTACTATATGATTCTTGAGTAGACTACTACAACTTTGGTCAATACAAGCTATTTTAGTGTTTCAGTTAAGTAAAAGCAATTATCCATGGTCATCTGTGTATATACAGCTGTATGCCTGGTTGAGAGGTAGCCAATGGCTACCCTCTAGATGCTGGCAGTGCCATTGGCTATGGTGGTTGGCTGGGGCTGATAGGAACACCTATGTCCAGCTACGACTTTCTGGTAAGCTATGGCCATTCCTGGACCAAGATAGCCTTACTACAGTGTTCTATGCCCTAGAAATTTTACATCTTGATTACTGCAATAGTACTCTGCATGGAGGATGCATGGAGCATGCAGTTTTTGCCAGTTTATGGGCCTTTGATGCTGTTTTACACAGTCCCTTGAGACTTCTAATCTATTGGACAGATGATTAGCTGTATTATGTCACGGCTGTTTGGAGCTGATAACCTCGTTCCTGAGATTTTAATAGTATTGCTCTTTCAAAAACAGCTCCAAACAGCTTCAAAAAATGAAGAACAGCTTAATAATGAAATAACAAATAAAGTAGTCCAGCACAATATGGAAGCCACAGGTCCACCCCGTGCTTTTAAGTATACAAATATTTTCTCAACAAAAGTTATGGCAGTGAGGACAAAACCAAACTAAAATCTAATAGTGTTCTAGTAAGTAGTCCCCTGCATAAGTTGGCCTGCTTCATATATTACAATGGGAACAATCTGTTATATTAATATGTAGTTTGTTTGTTTTATAATGGAAGCAATCTGCTATATTAATAAGTGTTCTTCCACACAGGACATCATATGAAGATTCCATAACACTCAGGCCAGTTTAACCCATACAAGCAAAATGTCTTTCAGCCAAAATAAGACTGTTGCTAATGTGTTTACAATTGGCTTGAGCCCCATTGGAGCCGATTTGCAAAGGGCTTCCCACATAGAAGGCATCTGTATGGTATTTCCCCTCCTCAGTGACAGCTATGTAGGCAGCATAATGCATGAAACAGATCTCCAGTACAAAGTGAAGTTTTTTCTATCATTATAAGTGTTATAAAATAAAAAAGGCTCCATGCATCGTTTGTCAACAGTTATTCAGATCTGCCTTGGAAAAGTATTAAACTCCTTGTCGCAGGTAGGAAAAGCATGGAGGAGGAGGAGGAGGAGGAGGAGGAGGAGGAGGAGGAGAAGAAGAAGAAGAAGAAGAAGAAGAAGAAGAAGAAGAAGAAGAAGAAGAAGAAGAAGAAGTGGTGTGTGGACAGCTTCATCCCCACCCCTGGCTCAACAATTCACAGAAATTCCACTGGCAAAGTCAGTACAGTGGTACCTCAGGTTAAGTACTTAATTCGTTCCGGAGGTCCGTTCTTAACCTGAAACTGTTCTTAACCTGAAGCACCACTTTAGCTAATGGGGCCTCCTGCTACTGCCACAGAACGATTTCTATTCTCATCCTGAAGCAAAATTCTTAACCCGAGGTACTATTTCTGGGTTAGTGGAGTCTGTAACCTGAAGTGTATGTAACTTGAAGTGTATGTAACCCGAGGTACCACTGTACAGGAGAAACCTTCTTATACTTTCAAGTTAGGACATTTATTTTAGTCATGATAAAAAACACATAAGGTAGTTACAGTGTGACTGAGACTTAATCAAGTCAATTTCAGAAAGGGAATCAGACACTGCCGTCCAAAGAAATCTGTTCTGCCTGACCTGTTCACATCTTTCCACTGTTGTTTGTTACTGCCTTAAGAACATAAGAGGTACCTTGAAAGGTCAGACCAAAAGGTTGATAAGACTAGTGGTTCATTTCCAACAATGACCAGCCATATGCTTTAAAAGCTTCCAGCAATCCATAAACGGAGCAGTCCTCAGAGGGATCCTGCCCCTGAACACAAACCTTTACTGCCTACCATGGCAGGCTGATAGCAGGGATGGGGAACCTGTGGCCCTCTAGATGTAGTTGGACTTCAACGCCCATAAGCCACAGTCAGCATGCCCAATAGTCAGGGATGATGGGAGGTGTAGTTCAACAATATGTGGAGAGCCATGGGTCCACATCCCTGGTTTAGGTCTCTCTCAAGCACTGCCATCTTCAAATATTGAAAGGGCTGTCACATACAAGGTGGAGCAAGCCTGCTTTCTCCTGCTCTCGAGGGTAGGACCTGAACCAATGGATTCAAGTTACAAGTAACATTAGGAATAACTTTCTGATGGTAAGAGCTGTTCGACTGTGAAATGGACTACTTGGAAGGTGGTGGAGAGTCTCCTTCATTGGAGGCTTATTAAGCAGAGGTGGATGACCATCTGTTGTGTATGCTTTAGTTGAGATTCCAGCATTGCAGGGGTTTGGACTAGATGACCCTTGAGGTCCCCTGCAACTCTGCAATTCTATGATTCTATTATTTTAACTCAAACTGCTATGCATAGGTTCTCTCTGGTTTCCCATTTGGGCAGCAACAAGACCCAGCTCTTGTTTCAGCAAGGTTGCTCTGACACATGCCTTCCAACAATTACCCTGATGACATTTTAAAGAACATCAATAAAAAGCAAGGTTATTTTTTTAATCAAAGATTTTAAAGGGGTGTATGTGTGGAAACTTACCAGTCCTATACCCAGTGTTGTTCAGATACACTGCAAAGGTACGTGGTTCATGCGTTGCTTGCCAGGAAGGAGAAGAACAGTTTTCATTGTTGGTATAAACATTGTGGTTGTGAACATATTTTCCTGTCAACATCGAGGAACGAGATGGACAGCACATTGGGGTTGTGACAAATGCATTGACAAAAGTGGCACCTCCATTTTCCATTATCTTCCTGGTTTTGTTCATCACTTGCAAAGAACCTAAAAAACAAAAAAGAGCTGTATCAGGAGCTATAGCTTATTGGATATCAACAAACCCAGTTAGTACTCCTGCAAGGGGTTCACACACGTGGCATTACCTTCAAGAGCCATGCAGCCATGTGGATCATTCATCTATAAATTTGCCAAGTTCTATTTTCAACTAAATTAAATGTTTTACTGCACCAAAGATATTTGCCGCTACAAGGGTGCAAGCTGTGGTTGAAGAGGAGGTTTGTTCACAGAGGTTAAAGTTTTATTTTATGAAAACAAGATTTTAGTCTCCTGGAAGATACACAGAATTGGTTCACGCATTGTGGAAAGCCATAGTTAAAAATAAGCTATGGTTTACTGCGAACAAGCAGCTTATTAATACATACAGTTCTTCTCAATCATAACCTCTTTGCTCCTCCCTTTTCCCAGCTGGAAAAGAACATACATCAGGGTTGGCTTAGCTTTGTGAGCAAATCAACACTCATGGTTTGCTTGGAAAGAAGGAAGCCATGACTGCTGGTTTGAACTAAAAGTTGAGTCAATGTGGTGGCTTGTTTCTTCCCCTTGGAGGAAATTGTAGGAGTAGGGTGGCTCCCAACTCCTCACAACATTGGGACATCACATGAGTGGTGTTATCCTCTCCATCACCCTCACAAGCTGGTGCCTCTGATCCTAGGGCTTCTTCTTCTTCTTTGGCAATCACTCGTAGCCAAGTAAGGTTGTCTTCCATGAACACAGTCTTAACAGTGACTCCGTAAGTGACTGTGGAGGCCAGTTCTGGATCCACGCGTCCTTCCACAGTGGGGACAGAGGTTTCCAGGCGGGAGTTGATCAAGGTGAGGGTTGGCCAAATGTGCCTTCCTCTTAGCACGTTTCTCCCTTTCATCCTGAGTTTGAGTGTCTTCAAAGTCTATGACACCTTTGGTAAAGGCTGTTCTCCAACTGGAGCGCTCGCAGGCCAGTGTTTCCCAATTGTCGGTGTTTATTCCACATTTTTTTAAGATTTGCCTTGAGAAAGTTTGCCCCAAGTAAAAGGTAAAGGTACCCCTGCCCATACGGGCCAGTCTTGACAGACTCTAGGGTTGTGTGCCCATCTCACTCAAGAGGCCGGGGGCCAGCGCTGTCCGGAGACACTTCCAAGTCACGTGACCAGCGTGACATCGCTGCATCTGGTGAGCCAGAGCCGCACACGGAAACGCCGTTTACCTTCCCGCTAGTAAGCGGTCCCTATTTATCTACTTGCACCCAGAGGTGCTTTCGAACTGCTAGGTTGGCAGGCGCTGGGACCGAGCAACGGGAGCGCACCCCGCCGCGGGGATTCGAACCGCCGACCTTTCGATCGGCAAGCCCTAGGCGCTGAGGCTTTTACCCACAGCGCCACCCGCATCCCCTTTGCCCCAAGTAAGTACAACCTATTCTCCAGAGTACTGTAGAAATAAAGTAGCATGCAACTGCATTCCTGAGGTCTTCTGTTGTAACAATAATATGTAAGAGGCATAAAAGGTCAACTTCAGTAACAGCCTGTATAGTATCATTGTCCAGCTTACTATAAAGATGTGCGCAAATTGTACGAAATTAGTAGTGTAAAAGTAATAAAATGTTGAATACACACTATGTATGGACATTGTGCATTATATAGTTTATTCACTAGGTGGCACTTGATATAATCATATTTGGGTGGAGTCAGGGGTTTCCTATGGCTGTTTTCATTGGATAAAATCAGTAACAGTTCTTGTTTAGTTTCCTAAGTGGCTTCTCCTCTATGCTTCCATGATACAGTACTTCAAATGCTTAAATGCTGTTGGAAAATGGACCATTATTAGCAAAATTAGCTGCTGTTGACAGGCAGCTTCCTTCTTTTCCAAACATGACTTGCCGCACGCAATAATAGAAAGCGTTTCATTTAATCAGAGGTTGCTGAGTATTAACATATATTGATTCTGCAATGTACATCTCAAGAAAATGGGAATCAATTATCAAATGCAGTGAGAAAATTGATTCCCCTCCCCCTTGGAGAAGGATTTACAAATCTGTCAAGTAAGTATAATAATGTGCAGGAAAGGCAAATATGTTAAGGATCATTTACAGAGCAGAAAGTGATCTTTAAAAAACAACCGAAAGACGACTGAGTGAAATTATGCAGTAAATTTCAACAGACTTACCCAGCTCCACGTCTTGGTCATCTGTGAGTACAAGGATAATGTTTGGCCTGATATTTTTCCGCTCCTGCTGTACACGTCCTCTGAACCTTGGGGATTTGACAGTAGTACAGTGGCTCCTTAACAGCTCAGTGCCAAGCACAGTCCATATAAATGCAATGCAATAATGATTCATTGTATCTGTCCAATACTGCAGTTAAACCCTCGTGCAAATGCTTCTGTTCCTTAATTTTCAAGCTCTGGATAATGAAAGGGATAAAAAGGGGGTGGGGGTGGGGAGAGGAACGAATGAGAGAGAGAGAGAGAGAGAGAGAGAGAGAGAAAGAAACCTAGTTTAAAAGCTCAGCTTGCATTCGATTAAATATACATAAGACAGAATAGAAAACTGTTCTTATAGCTGGATGTTGCTTTTTGAAAATGATACCAGTATTTTTCAACTGCAGTGCACTTGGTTTTCCTTCTGCAAGATTTAGTGCTAGCTGTATTTTATGGTTTGCTGCACAGCCATCTTCCAGAGATGCTTCTGTTTTCTTTACAGCTCATTATTTTCTTCTATTATTATTATTATTATTATTATTATTATTATTATTCCACTTTATCTTGCTCAGGGCAACCCAAAGTGACTTGGGTTAGACTAGATGACGCTTGTGGTCCCTTCCAACTCTACAAATCTATTATTCTATGACTTACAACCAAACATCTGATCCAGAAAAAAAGCATTTTGAGCCTCTTTAGAAGAAGCCCTCTAAAAGTGGTGTTCAAATCCATAACCTCTTAATTCCCTGTTCAGCAGTATGTCTCTTGTGTAGCATGACATATATCCTTTCCTGGGAGCATGGAAAGAGAGAAGTCACTTAAATCCATCTCTCCTTATATACAGGGTTTCGGTGAGTACATGCCCTAATGGTTGGAAAGGCCCAGGTTTTCTTCAGAAAATCAGCAAAGCTGATGGGCTTGCCTTCTTCCCTTCAATAAACATTACTACGTTTCTTTCATCTCGTTTTCCGTTCAAGAGAGGTCCCGTCCCAAGGCACATGCAGAACAGCAGGCCTGTTTTAGTCCAACTCACCTGCACTTCTGAAGCAGAGATAAAGACATGGCTGCCGGCCGTAATCTCTAACATTATTTGATGCTGTTCTGTTTCTGTTTGCAACTTAACAGAGAGCTCGTATTAAGTGACAGTCCAGATGATCCTACCCAGCACCATGAAAGCCCATATCCCTGTCCCTCATCAATCAGCAGTGGGACTGAGCACATCATCTATAATGCACGACAACTCTAAGCAAGCGTTTGTCCCCAATTCTCCATTTCCAGATTCGGCTCACTGAGCCTATCAGAACCCCTTTCTCAATGGCTGTCAGTCAAGCAGCCCCACTATTGTAAGCCCTAATGCAACCTCAGGAGGGGTCTCCTTGCTGCGGCAGACTTAAACCCACAACAGAAAATGATTGATGGGCCTTGTGACTAAAAAGGTTAGTCACTTACACGCCAGCACTCTCTGCTCCATTGGCAGAGGCTCCACCAAGCGATGGAAACTCATGATAATAGTAACTGAACGTGAAACTTAATTGGCCATATATTTTTATTTTAAAATACAGACAGGGCTTGAAGGCAGACGAAGTGCAAGGAGGCATCCTCCATGGGAAAGTCTGCTTGGAAAAGAGGCGACACCAGCCTTAATGAGAATGGAACGCAACTCATCAGACAATCCGTCCTCCCACACCTGAGACTTCATATTTAGGCATGCAACATTAACTAGTAGGGGATAAATCAGCAGAACTAATTAAATGGAAGCATAGCATAGCAGAGACGGCAAAGGGGGGTGGGGGTGGTCCCATCACTCATTTCAAAACACAAAGGAGGGATGCAATTCCTTAGGGAGAAATTTGACACAGACCACCAGCAATAAACATATATCTTTTAAATGCTGGATTTTTTCTTTCTTTTCACACCCACTTATTACTTGAAACTTCACAACATATCCTATAAACAGTGTCATGCATCTCACTCCTCGGGAGATAATTGCACCAGGAGAGTGTGAATGTTGTTTCTTTAAAACAAAAAAACGAAACAAAAAACCCTCCAAGCATCTGTAAGCAAAGAAATCCGGGCTCCATTGTCTGTGCATAAACATTCCAATCTCTGATTGACATCACAGCATAAAGGCAGTATGCTGGAGGATTCTGCATGCTAAGTTAAATGCTATCGCCCTGACTACATAACATTCAGAGAAGTAGACTGGAAGTCAGTAATTAGTCTGAGCATGCTCTCTCTCCCCTTAAAAATATTTTGGTTTCCAACCATTTGCTCCAACTGGAGTACAGGATTATTGACCATTAAAGTATTTTTTTCTGCCTGATAACAGCAATGCCACTTACACATGGTGCAAAAGCTAAACAGAAATTTCTCCTGGGGATCCTCTTTAAAGTGCAGGCCTCAGACTCCTCTCACATAAAGTCAAAAGAGGAGCACGTGGGAGTAGGAAAGAGAAAATGTGTAGCATTTCCTGTATCAGATGCACTGCCTAGATAATTTTTCCAAATAGTGTTGTACCCAAACAGACCCAGGTTTTCTACAGCTCTGTTGTGCTCTGGCGAGTCCCCTTGTCTATCAGCGAAGTTCGCCAGGATTTATTTGACGGTTGCAGCAAGCTGAATCTCGCCTGCCTTTTAATTTTCCACAATGCCCCCACAAAACAGCATTGCTCTGAAACATTGTGTGCAATTTAGATGGCAGCTGTCCAGCGCTACATGGACTGCTGGGCTGAAAAATAATTAAATATAGGGCCCCCCAAGTGTGGCGTCAGCCAGTATAAAGCAGGGGTTAGAGAGCTGGAGTAGGACTTGGGAAACCTGGCAAGACCTAGGTTATAAAACCAATCCTACCATTAAAATCATTGGGTGACCCAATCCCTATACTCTATTCCAATTTACGTTAACACTGTTACGGGAATAAAATGGGATAAGCAAGGTGGCAATCAAGCCACCTTTATTTCTCTGGAGAAAAGATGGGGAAGAACAGCAGCTCACTGGAAGAGCATCCACCTTGCATTTAGAAAGTCCCAGGTACAATCCCTAGCATCTCCAGGTAGAGGTGAGAATGTCCCCTGATTGACACCTTGGAAAGCCACTGCAGGTGTGAACAGTACTGAGCTAAATGGCCCTTTGGCCTTATTTAAGTTAAGGCAGCCTCCTATGTTAATATGATATAAATGCAAGACATGTGTGTGAGGGGGGAAGAATATTTATATATATACATGCTCCAAATATATTCTACATGACTAGACACCTCTTGTGCAACCAGGGAACCTGAATAGGTACAGCTCCTGATGATGCAGAGCAGTGCCCAGGTATCATATATCATGTGTACTTCCCTATGCCCTTATGCATTCATTTCCCTATTAATTATCTGAAAAGGGCTTGGAGGGCTCAGCAATCCCAACTACTCACTACATGCATTACCAGATCCCCCTTGCACAAGCACTTATTTATTCAAAGGCAACCTTTTTAAAAGCTGCCATCCTCTCACTGCCCGGCTTCCAGCTCCTGAAGGAAATGAAGCAATGAAACACCCCTGCAAAATCAAGGGCTTCAGTGGGGATACAAGAACGTACTGTAGTGTTTGCGTTGGCTACTTTGCCCTAGTCTACAAGTGTCCTCAGAGACACTGCAATTTGTCTTTGAGAAACAGTCAAAAGCAAGAAAAATTAAAGAGAGGCCTTGTTCTTCACACATGGCAAGTGAACGTAAGGCATTGTGCAGTGTCCAAGGATCAAGAAGAGACTACAAGTTGCCTTTCTTCCATAAGGTAAATGAAAGCATATTGACTGCAAGTGAAAAATAAGCGACTTAGAGAAAGTATAAATATATTTTTGTACAGGCAGACATGTAATCAGGTCTCCTAGATGGAATCAGAGGAGTTGCATTTCGAATGTACCACTTTCCCATATACAGTGGTACCTCGGGTTAAGTACTTAATTCGTTCCAGAGGTCCGTTCTTAACCTGAAACTGTTCTTAACCTGAAGCACCACTTTAGCTAATGGGGCCTCCTGCTGCCGCTGTGCCGCCAGAGCATGATTTCTGTTCTTATCCTGAAGCAAAGTTCTTAACCTGAAGCACTATTTCTGGGTTAGCAGAGTCTGTAACCTGAAGCGTATGTAAACTGAAGCGTATGTAACCCGAGGTACCACTGTATATTCTGATCCTACAAGAAATCAACTTTACAGCAAAAGTTACATGGAGCTATAAAACTGCGAAACCCATTTATCAAAGGAAAACTGCACAAAGAGACTGCTCAGCCTGCTTGACATTCTGTAATCCATTACAGTGTGTATCGTGTTTCTGGTTTTTACACCACATGCAAAAGATTGCACTTTATTCAATATGTACGCACGTGGGCATGATTGGTTTAGGCCAGCGATGACCAAAGTCTTTAGCCTGGGTGTTACATCTGTCTCTCCAAATAACATCGTTACAACCTCCCTTCATGTACAGCTTTTGGATCCGGACACACTACTCTCTGAAGCGCTTTACTTTGGAAGGAGCATTGTCTGCGACTTTTGGACTGCTTTCATTCCACTAGGGAAGCACACAGGGAAATTTGTGCTCTAGTACAATCCATTGACAACGCAACAGCTCTAAGGACCAATGTAGACACGGCCATGACATTAGATGCATGTCAACAACTGATGTGTACGTTCCTCCAAAATGTAAATAGCCGCTAAGCAGCACCAAGATGTCAGCAGGTGGAGAGAAATAACACTTTCTCCACCACAATCTTGTCAAAAATCCCCGCCTCAAGCTGGGCTGAAAGCCCATGGGAGTTTCCCTTCCAATACAAATAGAAGCTTTTGGCATAAGTGATTAAAAAACAAAAATCTGGAACACACTAAGAAAAAGACAAACTTCACTTCTTGCACCACAGTTCTGACCCTTCCAATTAACAGCTTACGTGGAGTTAAAATGCTGTGGTGCCATTTAGTCTAAAGTGTCCCAAAACATGACAGCAGGTGCACTGACTTCTAAGTGATGAAGTGATGCTTTATTAAAGCAGATTAACTGTACAGACAGGGACACCGGTGGCGCTGTGGGTTAAACCACAGAGCCTAGGACTTGCCGATCAGAAGGTCAGCGGTTCGAATCCCTGCAACGGGGTGAGCTCCCTTTGCTCGGTCCCTGCTCCTGCCAACCTAGCAGTTCGAAAGCACGTCAAAGTGCAAGTAGATAAATAGGTACCGCT